CCCTTGATTGGATGAGACGCAAATTCGAGAGGGGTCATGAAGAGGAGAGCAGGTGAGCTAGCCCGATGCGCACGCATGCATGAAGTGCGGATCCCACGTTGCACTTGAGATGCAACCAGGCGCGATTAATGCACTCGAAGATGTTGGGGATAGGTTCGTTATTTTGATAGCACGCGCATTTACAGGCATCGTCCGCGCTATAGCCGTGTCAAATTGAGTTAAGGCACCGCGAGCTTCGTGAATGCCCAAGTTTCTCCGCTGCTCGGAATCATAATAATAAATTGCAGTTAAACAGTTAAAACGAAGAAGGGAGCTGCGCACAGTAGAAGTTGGACTCGGTAGAAGCGCGTTAAAATCGCTTTGCAAATTAAGTGCACGTTGCAGAAAATTACAAGAGTTTGCAGAAATTTTCATAATTATTGTATTGTGTTATGTAAGAAACCGTTTTAAGGAATCCTTGGCGGAATCTGATGATATTTTCTCTTCGACTTTCGGTTATTTTATTGCATGTTTAATTCATTTCTATTAAGCACGTTTCCTACCGTCTTCTAGTTATTTTTACACAGCCAAAGAAAATCTATGATTATAGCTTTCAAATTTCGTTATTTTATCCTCACAATGTCATTTTATTATTGCTATCATATATATGTAATTAGACATTTTTATTTAACAATTCATGTAATATACCGCGATAAAGTTGTAATGTTTCATTACAACTTTTTCTTTTCGTGTTTCAATTTATCTATCATTATTCCTGAGAATGAAATATTCAACGATAGCTAATATGTTTTAGCTGTAGCATTCTTCGTTAAACTATAGCTAAAAAATATTAGTTGCCATAATTAAAATTTTACCATGATAACTAAAGTTCAGGTTGCAATATAGGGACAGCTAAATTGAGCTATGGTAGCTAATTTTTTTTCGTGGCAAACATATTATATTAATTTAATATATTGCCATGAAATAAAAAAACATCTTCGTTTCAAATTTGCAAACAATTTTTCATCCGTTATATAACTGTTCCAATAATAAAGGAACCGAATAACTATAGCTAACAAATATGAATTACCATAGCTTAGGCATGATAACTAAAATTCGGGTTGTAATATAGGAACAGTTAAAATTTAGTTCAATTTTTTTTCGTGGCAAACGTATTATATTAATTTAACATTTTGTCGTTAAATAAAAAAACCGTCTTCGTTCCAAATATTTGCAAACAATTTTTCATCAGTTATAACTGTTCCAATAATAAGGGAATCGTGCCGAATTACACGCTTGCCCTCTCGACGAAGGTGCATTTCAGCAGATAAGCCACGACACCGCATCGTGGTTAACACAAAAGAAGCGGAGGAAACTTTCTTTTGGAAAGTGAGCCACGTATAATGCAACGAAGGAGCAACGGCAAGTAGTGTTTGCGTGCGCTGAGAAAACTAAAGAACCCGGAGCATCCAACCGCCCTTAGCTATCACTTCGAGCATGTAATGCACCCGTGCTTACTTACATGCGGTTCCACCCTCCGCCGCGTGCCTTTCTCTTCTTTTCTCCCCGTTGGCAGCTTTTACGGCCTCGTGAACCCTTTCGAACATGTCTGCGATGATCGCGAGCGATGGCGTGCACCGAAATATTTTGACCGCACGATCCCTTTCATCGTGGAGCGAAGTATTTCAGCTTCCCTCACGACGGATGAGCTGAAACAAATTGACAAGAATTCAAAACACGAAGTGATAGAAAATATATTGGATGTATTCTTTCTTTGTTAAATTCAATTTTAATTTAAATAGAGAAAGAGAGAGTGACAAGTAAATTTCTTTTCTCATGCAATATAGCATGATATCACGCTCGATAATAAAAAAGTTTAAAAATTCCTTAGATTGCTGCAAAAATATATATAAAAAAAATTGCCCACAGCAAGGAAAATCCGTTTACACATTACGAAGGGCGGCAGCTCACGTCGCAGGTGATTTTTGCACGAAATTATACGTGAAACTTAAAGCTAGCCGGCAGTTGCGTGAATAGCACGCAAACTCCCCTAAACTGACTAACACACGCTGCACTTTCGTGCCGTCAGCGCGGATGCTCCGTTTCGTAAACGGCGAAACTAGATGCACCGCACAACATCGGCCCGGCCACCTTTCTCTTTGATATTACTTCGGGCATGTAATGGAACTCACGGGAGACCCGAAAGGTACATCCTTTCTGCAGGCAAATACCACCGTTGTACCAGCAGCAGCGACGCAAGAACAAATATTTGATAGAACAAACGATGTATAAACCCGAATTGAGAACTGGAACCATCATCGCACCACCGATTACAAACGAGATCACGATACATATGAACTTATTTAAATAATTAAAAACTAAAATTAAAATTTAAAATATTATTGCAAGATATGACAAGACGTATAACGTTTTAGATGTTATTATAAATAACAAGATGATAGCTTTTTTTTTTTTTGGTGTGTATCTAATTTAAAAGGACCTCGCACTAATTCAATGGAAAATAACTCTCCATCGAATTGGCTGAATTTTTTACATGTTGTAGTTTAAGGCATTCTGATCAGAAGATGTAATAGCTTCAAAGCTAAATAATGGACAATTGCTAAGACGAATTCTTCGTGTTTGATTGACTGTAAATCAGTAATCATCTATTATTTAGCTTTGAGTTTATTATTACATTTTTTTGTTTGGCAGATCATAAGTTACAACATAGGAGAAAATCAACTGATTTTATCAAGATTTATTTCGTCTATGATTTTAGTAAGAGCAGCGGATTTTCTCATATGTTGTAATTTATTATGATCTGCTGAACAAAAAATGTAATAGGTTCCAAGCTAAATAATAAACTGTTACTGATTTACAGCTAGTTAAACGTGAAAAACTCTAGTTTTGCGAGTTGTTGTAACACAATAACTGTCCATTATTTATCTTTGAGACTACATGTTACATCTTTTGATCAGAATGCCTTAAGCTATATAAAAAAATTAGCCTATTCGACGGAAAGCCATTTTCCATTGAATTGTAGGGTCCTTTATTATTCATTAATACAATAAAAAATAATTTTACTAATTTACTTCAGTTTTGTTGGTTGATCTTGAAATTAATTGATTTGATAGAAGTTTTATATAATATTCTTAATTAAATATAATTCATTTCACAATTGAAAGCTTGGCAAAGAAAAATTATTTTTTATTACATGTATATATTTTGCCTCTCTTTTTTTCTCTTTCTGTTTAATATATGCATATACATTTAAAAAATTGATAGAGTACGCGACACATGTATCACAATAAATCTAATAAAAAAAAGGCCGCAACGCATTCGCATTTTCGGCATAAAAATGCACATTTCTGATAGAAACGCAATACCTAAACTCACGACTCATTAACTGATTGATATCCAACGATTACAAACACGGTTTTGATAACGCAAAAGCTTTTAACGTTTCCGAATTCAATGTGCAAACTACATCGTTAAATATAACTTTGGAAAAGAATAAACACGAAAAATTGATGGACAATGGAAAAGATAAAAGAAAAAACAGGGCATAACGGGTCTCCTATTTTTCAGAATTTTTCGACAACATACTCGCGTTAAAAAATACACGATATTCGATACTAATTAGCATATTCTTTGCGAATATTTGACAACAGTTAATGAATTCGCGAAATATTACTGGAATAAAACGAGCAATTCAATTCATTGTCGCATTTGCTACAGTTCAATTTTAATTAGATAAAGACAATTTCATTGTATAATTGGAAAAAGTAAATTATAGCAACAAAATGGAAAGACACAAAAATACACACACGTGTTTTTCCTTACAAATAAATCGTACGTTTTAAACGTGCATATTAAACTTTTTCAATGAAATATATATATTCACACATATAGATACATTAGTTATTGTTATTACTTTTATTATTGTTTACATACGGCAAATGATATTTAATTACATCACGGGTAAAACGGGATAAATGAAACAAGAATAATGTAAAATGTTAATAGAAAATGCATCGTGCTTCCATATCGATAGATATAAACGGAGTGCCCTTTAATTACACGATTGTAGAATGAGAAAAAGAATTCCAATATAAATAGATTACACTAAAAATAAAAGCGCCAAGAGTGTAAACGTTCATTGTAAAAAAATTTAATAAAAAAATCTGATTTATTAATTCTCTAATAAAAGTTTATTCACGCGCATTCTACATTTTATCAATTTTTAATCATCTACTTCTTTCTTCAGTTCGATGATGAATGTGTCTTTATCTAATTACAATTAGACCGTTCATTTGCGAATACGAATGGAATTACATGCGGATGTTACATCTATCAAATTTGACAAATTCTTGCTTGCTCGCGACTAATTAAGTTGAATCGACATAACACGATCGCGAACCTGCTGATCGAATAATACAATGATTTTATTTTTGTCGCATCTGCTTTATTCATTCACGTATTCTTTGCATGATTTTGAATTTTTCTGAATAAATAAATATTTCAGCGACTTTAATAAAACATGTTAATTAGACAATGCATTGTTTAATGAAATGCCAAGATTAATTATACAAAATAGTTGCGCAAAATATAACATTATTCGATAAGCATTATCTTATAATTAAGAAATTAACTATGATATTTATCACAATAAATAGCAATAATTTATAAAAGTACAAGGTACTTTTATAATTCGCAATTACATTCGCCTGTGTTTAAGAAAATAGTGATATTTTAAGCGAGATATCGATAGAATAAATATATCTCTTCATAAAACACTATAATTTTTGAAAACATTTTCGATATTATATAATTAAGATTATTAAAAATCTAATATAAATATATTAATTTAGTATAATTGCGAACATTTTTCTATGTTACAAGTGAGATATATTTATATACATAATAGTAGATCTTCTAATCTTAAATACCACATCTCTCAACATACTGAAAAAAGTTAATAATTATTAATCTAAAAAAATGCTGTAATAATAATAGCATCATAAATAATCAAGCAATCTATTAAATTTCTGTAACAGCACTGTACATATGGCAGTGTGAGAGAAGTTAACAATCGTTAACAATCGTGTCATCTCTCTCCTCTCTTTTTTTACACTTAATACTTTCATCTACATTTTTATTTTTACATTTGCACTTTATATGTTTCTCACTCGGATGATGTATTCCAATGCCAGCATCGCCTCCAGCAGGATCTAATTTGATAATAATTTTATTTATAAGAGAACATGTATTATACAAACCTTGTTCTTATTTTTTTTAATATTACCTTTATCTTGCTGCTCCCATGTAATTTGCTCCATCATCTCTGAATCATTCAGTCGTTTTTTAGGCGAAGTAACCTTTAATAAAATGATCAGAAAAGAGATTTTATGGATACATTAATCTATTGACATCTCACTTTGTAAAAATTTCACAATTTTTCTGGATACATACAAATGTAATTGCGAATAATTGCGTGTATTTGTGACATTGTTTATTATTATAAAAAAATATTACATATTTAGAATTTTTTCTGAATACTACAATTAAATATTATAATTAGTTAGAACACTTATTATTTGTTTTAGAACTTAGAAGATGACTATCATTTTGATCAATAATTTAATAAACAATGTCTTTATGTATTATTTCTTTAATTGATTTTACCAAATATAATTTATTTAAATTATAAGTAAATTATAAAATTATAAGTGATAAAAATAATTGATATACCTCGTAAATCCGTTCAATGCGTTCTTGTTTTTTATTGGAATTGTTTTCTTTACCCTTTATTCCAAATTTGAAGAATGGTCCCACACCAAAGTTAATAGATCCGCCAATCAAGGAAAATGGTAATAATATTATGCATATGCAGAAAGTTAAGAAAAGAACGAATGTGATGGTAGTTTTAGAAACAAAGTTCAGTTTACCTGTAGAACAATAAGCGAATATTATAATTAATATTTATTAATATTGAAAAATATGTAATTATATATTATCAAAATAATTTACTCACTTGTAGCATTATCTATAAATTCAGACATAACAAGTCCAAAATATGAAAATGGTTGAAAAATGACTGTACTAAGAAAGTATGTCAATGCATATGCTGGTGTCACTTGCAATCTAGGATTCGTCATAATTGATTCATAGTACTTTTCACATTCGTTCGAAGCTGTCAATAATCAAATAATATATACTAAGTTTTCAAATGTAATTATGTTTCAGGTAAGCTGACGAGAAAACTCACCAAAAATTGATGCATATATTTTGTGCCAGAGACCCATTTTATGTGGCTGACAAGCAATTGGCATTTCTGCAAATTGTGCTTGAGCAGCCATTAATTTAATTTCTGCTTCCTGCAAAACAAAACAAATTTTTGAACAACAAAACAATATTTAAGATTAGAAACGATATATTATAGGGAAGTCAAAAAGTAAGATTCATGAGCCAAAACCCTGTCGATAGAAATTGGATCTTGCTTACAAAGAAATTTTTGCATTTCATCCTTGACATCTTTCACTGCTTTCATGATTTCATTTAGATGAAGATAACAGGATAAAGTGTAAAGGGAAGTGCAGAAAGATTCCTACTTTCTAATGGCAGAATTTTTAAATTACTCATCTAGACAAATATTTTAATAAAAAAAAATGTTGAAAATATAATCTAAGGATATATTTTTATAAGATATGTAAACACTTTTGTAAAAATTTAGTATAAAAAACATTAATTAACTGGAAGAATCTTACTTTCTGACTTTCCTTGATATATATATATATATATATATATATATATATATATATATATATCATAATTTTATTTATAAGTTTTAGATATCAACATAAAAAAAGATAAAATAATATATAAATTACCTGTATAAGTCGCCACCAAGTTATGAAAAAACTTATTATAAATATGATCTCAATCAATAAAAACATAATTAAACCTCCTGACCATCTTTGTCTTCTCATCAACATCATAAAACTGAATACGATTATTAAGAAGATTATAGTTATGTCCCACTGTAAACATTTAAAAATTTAATTAGATTCACATTTCAACATAAAAATATATAGTTCTTATATATATATATATATATATATTTCAAATATTATATATATATATGTGTTATAAATATTATAAATTATTCTTACATGATCTTTCATGATTAACAAATAATTCATTAAATACTTTAATAATAAATGACAATAATGAGAAATTTCCGCCATATGGTAACACATAGAGTAATCAGATTGTTGTTTTATGACATTGTCCAGAATTCTATCAACTTCTCTTATAGATCCTTGGCCATTTATAAAATTCTTAAGATATTCAAGTTGTGATAAGGATGCTTCTACATTGATCGTTCCAATTAACTTGTCGTCAACTTTCTGTAATTTGTCAATTTAATGTTATATTATATTTTATAAAGGATTATCATTTCAAAATCTAAAATAAGTAATTTCAAAACTTTTTAAGTATTATCTTCACAATTATGTTGCAAACTAACCTGCATGGCAAGATTTGATAATAATATAGCAATCAAACGTTTATAAAAGACTGCTCCCTGAGTATTTTGTTCGTCTAATTCTTTACAGCTACACGATTGTGCCAATGCAGATTGATCACTCCTTTTTGCTTGCATTGCTAGACTAAAAAAGATTATCTACTTAAAATCGTATGTCAATATTGCATATTTTATTTAGATAAGACAAAATATATACCTAGAAAGATCCTTTTCTTCAGACTTATAAAAAAAATGATGTATATTTTTCAGTTCGTGTATAGGCCTAAAATAAAAACATTTTTAAGTACACAATTGTTACAAATATAATAACAAATTGTAATATGTATACAATAAATAAATATTTATTTCTAGGGTAATCACAGAAGGGTTACATGCAATTTTGAAACAAAAATATACATTTATGATTAAAATTAATATCAATCAAAATTAATATTTGTCGCTAGTGGTGAAAATAAGCTTAAACGACTTGACTACGACGTAACTAGCAATTTTATTTGATTATTTCACGACGTTTCGACCATTTGGTTGTGGTCCCTTTCAAGCGAAACTTCATCAATTAAACCGAGACCAACACAACATCACACCGGTGTTATTTGAAATCGAAAGTTAAAGCTTGAAAGGGACCACAACCAAATGGTCGAAACGTCGTGAAATAATCAAATAAAATTGCTAGTTACGTCGTAGTCAAGTCGTTTAAATTTATGATTAATTTTTCTAGTAATATCAAAAAATCGAAAAAATATTTACGGCGTGACATCATCGAATGCATCCGTCTCGTCGCAATAAACATTCGAGGAAAGTGCATACAAACTCGATACAACATATATTAATAACTTAAATAACTCCATGTCGATGCATCAAATGTTTTCACGTGTTCTTCATAAAAATGTTTTTTATAATGAAATACAAGCTATTCTAAATTCTAAAACAGAGACGAAAAACACGCGCGCCGGCATAAGAAAATGTTTTCACCATTTTACTTTTTGACTCACTGTAACCAACTTATTAAAGCAAAAAACCCTGCTAGGATCTAGTTTCTCGAAATCGTTCGAGCTGGTTCGAGTTATCGATTAGCGAAATGCAAATGTTCAAACTAGAGTGTGCAAGCAAAAAAATTAAAAAAATATTGACCTTTTCTATTATTTTATTAATTAGCGATAAAATATATATTTCCACATATATATAAATATTTCAATTGATATATTAAAATGAGATTTATTTATTCCATGATCAAAGAAAATAAATTTTCTTTTACAGTAATATTTTATTAATTTTTGTTATATTTTGTACTTCCTTGTATTTACTTTTTATACTAAAATTTTGAAATATTTAATATTTATCTTATTAATATCCAAAATAACTGTGTATATACTAAATCATTATTAAATGACATGTTACATATGCAAGAATTTTATTCATACGTCCATTTACATTTTTAAGAGCCTTTAGTTATAAGAAATTTAAATACAATATAAAAAGTCATATAAAGCAAACAAAAAAGTAGCAATTCAATACTGAAATGACAATGGTAGCATGAGCACAGTTTTTTTTAAATAATCTTCATGTTTTATAATAGCTTTATATTGAAAATAAGAAAAACTTAAATTTAAGATTTATAAGCTATGTCTTCATTTTAATATATAACACCGAGTATTATTTAACAATCTTGACTTTATTGTAAGATACTTTACTCTCGTTGGGCTGTACTTCACCAAATCTAGCTTTTCTTTTTTCCAATCGTTCAGCCAATTCAGCCTAAAAAGTCACATAACAATAGAATAGTGATAAAAAAAGTAAATATATGTAAGCCTTCAAAATTTAAAGCATGCATATATTTACATAGATCATTTGCTTACTTTTTCCATCACACTAGATACAGAGGTTCCAAACCTTTCGCCACGTTTCTTCAATGTTTCGTAAGTAGTATTCTATATCAAGAATTAATTATAAATTGATATAAAATAATTTTATATACAAATAAACATTTTGTTCTGATAACATACATTATAAAATAAACTATTAATTCCCTACCACAGGTGTTTTTATAGATGCAGCTGATTTATTATTTTGATTATTGATGTTAAATCGAGCTAACCTAGCTTCCTTTTTTGCAGCCTCAGTTAATGGCATTCCAAATTTCTTAGCTCTCATCTCTAATCTCTGTTAAAGAATTATTATAATTATATATTAATTATATATTATATTATCACAAATAATATAAGAAAAAAAATAATTTTATTATATTGTTCAGACATTTAATATATCTTAACAGATAAAAATGATATACTTTTTAATTACCTCTTTTGTGCTAAGTTCTGATAGTTTAATAATCTTTTTCTCTGGTGGTGCATCATCAGATTCTTTTACAGTTTTATTTTCATTTTTTTCCACTTGATCGTTTTTAATTTCTTCCAGTACAGGTTTGCGGTTCAGGACTATTTTTTTCGCATTGGTATTATTGCTCTCCACAGACAATTTTCGTTTCTCAGGTAGCACCTGTGAATCTGGTTTACTGGATAATTCTTCTATTTCTTCATCCTGTAATTCAAATTTATCGCACCCACACATACACGCACATGAGAGATATATATTTAATATTTAACTCTCAGTTATATAGCTAAATATTTATATATCATTATTAATATTAATATCATATTACATAAATATACAACAAAACTTACTCCAAGTACTTCATCTTCATCTAAAATTTCTTCTGTAGTTTCATCCAAGGATAATGCAGAATCTATTAAATATAAACAAAAATCTTTTATATTCCAAAATTTAAAATCAAAATAAAGAAATAAAAAAATAAAACAGACCTCCCTGGATTGCCAACTGAAGCCTTTCTACCAATTCGTTTTTGTTGCCCACAGAAGAAAGTCCTCTTTGCTTTAATTCTATCCTCAGATCAGCCACCTGATAAAGATACAAAAATTGCATTTATATAAAATAAATAAACATTTATATTGCCCTTATAATTAAATATTAAATAGTATTGTCATATTTATAGAGCCTATTCTAACTGATATATTACTTTATACTGAGAATAAACAAGTAGTAATCTTTGACAATATAATATTTTTATAACTTTATTGCTGTTCAAGATTAATGACTTAAGTAGAATTTAATTACATTAATTATTATTTAATAAAAAGTTCTAACAATAAGTAAAAAGTACTTTTCAGTTGAGATTATAGTGTAATATTCCAGATCTTGTGGAAAGTAATTTGCAAATATAAGAAAAAGAAATATTAGAGATTGCTGTATATATCAACCGATTGATGAGATAAAAATTTACAATTGATAGCGGAAGAAGATAGATAGATAAAGAAGATGAAGTAATTTTTCGAATCGAAGGACGCTAAGTTGTCGGTGTATTGTCCAAGTTCCAGGGAAACTATGGTTAGGGTATCATCAAACTTACGAATATCACTGCATATACGAGTCGATTTATGATATTTACCTTCATTTTTGACAGTTCGGTCAATCCTTTTTCGTACGACGAGTCAGCCATGGCGTATTTCTCAAATTTATCTTAATTTACACCGTTATTGACGCCTGTTATAACATTTCACATCCTCTCTCTGCAACGATAAATTCTCACACATACAAATTTATATACACACAACGCAACCACATATCGGTCAGTTCCGACTCGGAAATCCAACCAATCAAATGCAAGCCGGACAATCGATTGATCGAAATGTCAAAGTGCGCTGTAAATTTTATAGATGCGTTCAAAAATCTTATTCGTGGACTAAAACTTGAATGGACCAATTAAGATAAAGAAATGTTTGTTCCTTTTTTTCTTATTGGTCAATTAAATGCTATTCTATTTCACGAACATCTGGATGAAAAAAAAAAGAAATATAAGCATAAAGATGCGAAATTTAAATTATATGTGACGAATTATATATTAATTTTATAATTATACGTTATTTTTAAGGTGCCTTTTTATGCTGACGTTAAACACTGAATTTCAGAGCTCCGAGAACTTAGCCGGTCAACTTCAATTTTTTTAATTTTTATTATTTATACAGTTCATTCTTATATTTGGGTGCATTCGTTTATGCAGTGACTGCCGCAGAATGCCGCAAATGTCGTTCGTTTACTCCACCTGCGCAACCGACTGCAGCGCAGTTTGTTGTTCGTTTAAGCAGAGCTGCTGCCTATCTGCGCAGCCATCTCGGAGGTCCTGCTTAGGATGCTTTGCTCGCAGTACTGCGGACTACTGCGTAAACGAATGTAGTCTTCTCCATTGTTAAGCCAATTGAACTTGGAAACGTTGCCTGAAAATTATTTCAATTATGAGTTATGTTATAAAAGTTCAGAACAAAGAAGGTGGAGAATAACTCCTCCAAATAGATCCTACAAAACTAAAAGTAATGCAAGGTAAGTAATACAATAAAATTATGAAGTCTGTTAATTTATATTTACGATCCAATTAACTTAAAAATGCACTTTTATCAAGAATATAAATTTAAAGTAATCTGTTTAAAAAAAATGTGCTTTGTATAAAGATGCAATTCTGTTACAGTCATTCCTAGCTATCAAGCTACTTCGTCCCCAGTAAGTTTGGAAAAATCTGAGAAGTCTACATTCAGCAACATTTCAATCCTACCGTCATCACTGTCTAAAAATGTTATGTGCACACGTCATATGTCAGAACCTTCAACCTATTTAAAAATTTTATTATATTTATTCAAATAATAATTCATATTTAATATAAATATGATGGTTTCTAAATCGGCCTAAGAGCCATAGCACGAAAAATTACGAAAATTAATTATTCGGAACTGTATCTCTTGGTACGAGATTACTAAAGTTCCATATATTAATTAACCTTGAACTTACATATGGAGAAATAGGCGCGAAAAATATAGGTCCGAAAAGTCGCTGAAGCGGGAATCGAACCCGCGTCTTTCACTTTCCGGGCGACTACTCTTACCACTAAGCTATTCAGACTCTTTCGATCCTATATTTTTCATTTGCCTTTTTAGTAGATGTTAGTAAATAACGCCGTGATTAGGCCAGGCGTGAATAAACTCAGAAATAAATATTTTTTATCGGCTCTCAATATAAACAATATAAATATGATGGTTTCTAAATCGACCTAAAAGCCATATAGCACGAAAAATTACGAAAATTAATTATTCGGAACTGTATATCTTGGTACGAGATTACTAAAGTTTCATATTAATTAACCTCGAACTTACATATGGAGAAATAGGCGCGAAAAATATAGGTCCGAAAAGTCTAAATAGCTATTAGTGGTAAGAGCAGTCGCCCGGAAAGTGAAATAAGACGCGGGTTCGATTCCCGCTTCAGCGACTTTTTAGACCTATATTTTTCGCGCCTATTTCTCCATATGTAAGTTCGAGGTTAATTAATATATGGAACTTTAGTAATCTCGTACCAAGAGATACAGTTCCGAATAATTAATTTTTGTAATTTTTCGTGCTATGGGTCTTAGGCCGATTTAGAAACCATCATATTTATATTGTTTATATTGAGAGCCGATAAAAAATATTTATTTCTAAGTTAATTCATATTTATTTAAAATTTCTTTACTTACGCACTCCAATTACAATCTGAGCAGTCAATTCACGCAGGTGATCGTTCGGTAAATGATGTCACGTGACTCGCAGATAATAGACGCAGTGGATGCGCAGTGGATGCGCTAATCACTGCATAAACGAATGCACCCTTTAAGATTATCTTCCTATATCTAAGACCTCGTTCAACCAATCAAATGATAGCCGAATGTAGACCTGTGCGCCGTTTTATTTTATATTGGCGGCGGCGTTCGATACTAAATAGTTAGGCGGCGGCGAATTCGCCGACAATTTTTTCTTTCGGCGGCGGCGAAATCGGCGGATGATAATTTATCGGCGGCGGCGGCGAATAACGGCGTCAACATATATATATATTTTTTTTAAATAAAGGAATTAAACTATAATAATTTAATAAACAGATTGATTATAGATATATAATATTTGAAAATTATCAAGAAACATAAATATATGTTTTATTTTATATTGTTCTCTTTAGTTTATTTTTATTCTCTTTTTATTTAACTTTTACATTTCAAAATCTTTTACCTTTCAATTATTTTAATTGTTTATTATGTTCAATAATGGTAGAAATTATATATTAAATTTCAAAGTTAATTACATTTCTCTAATTTAGAATAAACTTTAATTTTTGTTTTTAATAAGTACAGATAATATAAATAAATAAAAATAGTAAACAATATATAATTATGCATACATATACATATATAACTTACGTACAACTACGTACATATAACAATACATATTATAACATTTATAATAAGATTATAAGATAAATAAAGATGAAACACAATATTTATTTTTAAAATATATTTATTAATGTGAAAAACTGTGAAACTCGTGAAAACACAAAATAACATCATTTTTTAATCATTAATATCATATGTAACAAAAATAAAATATCAATCACTTTTTAACTTTTTACATATGAAAGACTTTTTCATTAAAAATTATACATTAATTAATAAGAAATTGCAAGTAATAATTATATAACTGTAGCAATGTTTTTTGGATAAACTTATACATAACTTATTTTATAGATTTTAAATATATATCTTTTATTAATTTAAAATTATCATGAATAAATAGGATTTTGTTAGATTTTGACGGTTTTAACGCAGAACGTTTTGCTGTGATAAGTAAACCTGCAGAAGAGAATGCACGCTCAGATGCTGAACTTGTGATCGGAATAGCATAAATGCAGCACATCAATTTGTACAAATTTGGCAGTGATAACTTCATTTTATTCCACCATTGTAGAGGATCCTCGATAGATTCTGATATATGTAAATACTTCTTAACTTCAATAAGAATAGGATCTTCAGGAGGAATAATATTTGCGTGTTTCGCAGCTAATTCCAAACGTAATTTTTTGACTCCAAGAAGCTGACATGATTTATTAGAATAAATATCTGTTTCTCTCTTAGATACCTATTGTAAAAAAGCAGAATTAAACATGAAAATATAATTATATTATAAAAACAATAATTTTATATTTATTAGTAAACTATATGATTTTATTTTAATAAAAATTTTTTAAAATATTGTTTGATCTAATTAATTTGATCTAAATAATTAAATATTGTTTAATAACATATCGCTTAATGTTAATTAAAATAATTTTACCTGTTTATTTCTAATATTCAAAGGAACTATCTTGTGGATCATATATACTAAAAATTCCTCAGCAGATTGTTGCTTATCTGCAAGATATTCTGCAACACCTTTAACATTTTGAAGAGTCGGATCTAGAAGTGCTCCGCAAACATGGGCTTCGTGTATTGGAAATCGCTTTTTTAAGTTCTGTAAAATAGTTTTCTTAAATTGTTTTATTATAAATGAATCATCTTCATTTTCACACATATTGCTTTCAATTTCTGCCCTAAAAAAAAATTATGCAACACATTCAACAATTAACTTCTTTAAATTTATAATAAGATACATTTATGATATAAAATATAAAAATATATTAAACCTAATAAATCTAAATAAAATAACAAACCTAAATAAAAGTGCTAAGTTTACTGTAGGATATTCTACTCCAGAAAGAATTTCTGTTGTTGTTTTAATACTTATTAAACAATTTGCTATATCTTCAATATTCTTCCATTCACTATTTGTGAGAATTGCATCATAACGCTTTTGCATTTCCAAGCAGCGTATTACTATTTCTACAAAATAAATTATAATTATATTTAATAGTAAATATATATAATTATATTAAATAATATTTTACAAAAAAGTTTAATATTATAAGTGCAATATTCAAATTCAGATAAATAAATTATATCTGCATTTGAATATATGCATTAACACATTCAACTTACCTTTATTTTTAAGTAAACTCGCTAGCATCTCTAGTGTACTATTCCACCTAGTTGATACATCTTTATGTAATCCTGAAGATGTCATAAATGAAGGAAAAGTCTGCGCATAGGAATGCTCGTTATTACTATTAAGTGTGGAATTAAATCTTACATCAGCTTCTAACATCTCTTCTAGATTTTCAACATTATCAAGTATGTTGTTTATTTCCTCTTACTGTATAATTTCTTTTGTTTTTTCAATTTCTTGAGTTTTAAAAGCAAGAATTTTTATAATACTTCTAGCTTTAGTTATACAACTATTAATTTCTGGTAATTTAAAAAGAGTGTCTACTGTCACTAAATTGTGGAGTCCATGTGCAACACAAGGTACTCTGTCAACTTTCATATCTTTTGCAGATTTGACCATATTTGCTCCTCCATCAGTTACGAGAGTTATAATCTTGTTGTTTAAATTAAATTGCGTTAGCACTCTTTTTAATTCTTCAACAATATTATCCGCTGTATGAGGATGTGGCAAAAAACTTGTTTGTAACGTACATGATTTCAACTGTGTTTCTGTAGGTGATATCCAATGTAATGTAAAAGTCATAAATGGAATATGACGATAATTGTCAGTCCATGCGTCCATAGTTATAAAAATTGCACTTGGATTGTCTTCATTTATTTTTGCTTTAACAGCAAATACGCAGTCATTGCACACTCTTGAGAGTGAACTTCGAGATAGTGTACTTGGATGTGGTAGATCTGATTCGTTTTGTATAACACCATGTATTTTTAAAAAATCTCTTAGTCCACTTTTTTCAGTTTCGTAGAATGGAATAAAATCTCTACAAAACCAGATGGTCATGCTATCAAATAATTCTTTTTGTTTGTCAGTAATTTTTGAAGATTTGCTTGATTGTTGAGATTGTTTAGGTTCAAAGAATCTTTTAATATTGATTCTTTCATTTGATAAATGTGTTGTTTTTATATTATGCTCTTCTCTTAAATGAGTAAGTAAATTTCCTGTGCTAACTGCTTTTTTATATCTATAAACTTTTCGTCCATCAGGATGCATAAAGCATATTTTACAATATACATGACATTTGTCAACAAAAGCACCTTTCTCATTATCTTTTAGCATTCCAAAATATTCTCTAGCAATACTTCGAGTACGAGAGGAATTCTCGATGTTCACAACCAGATTTCTATTTTCTTTGAATTCATCGATATCCTGTATTTCAGCTGATTCTTCAATTTCATTGAAAAATGACATTTTGCATATAAACAATCTGAGAACAATAAAATACCAATAAGTCTGATAATTTCATAACAGAATAATCTAAATTAAGTAGCACAAACATACAATAGTAAGGCAGTGATTGTTTTATACTATTTTATTGCTTGACTATGATTAGTTGATACAGTAAAGTATATAAGTATATTTATTACTTACGTAGAATTTTTCTCTTTTTCGTCCACTTTTTCGGCGAAAACTGTGCTGGATTAAGGAAACTAATCGCCCATCAATTTTCATCACTGATTCGATAGCTAAACGGCTATCCCGCTAATTCTTCGTTCATTCCTTTTTCACTGCTTTCACATGAGGCGTAACTTGCGTAAGCGTAATTTATGTCAGCCAATCAAATCATTCAGCTATTATATGCCAAATTTTGCGTATAGTATCTGAACAATTTGATTGGCTAACACAAGATACGCTTACGCAAGTTACGCTTCACGTGACGGCACCCTTACGATCACGACTAAAATTTTTGTACATGTTATGGCCTTAAGAGCCTATCCAGACAAACTTGCATAGTCGCATAAACATATACATAAGAAAATTGATTGGTCCATTTCCTTATGCATTTGTTTATGGGCTAATCAATTTCCTTATGCATATATTTATGCGATTTTACAAATTTATCCGGATAAGGGAGCTATATATAGCATTTTGCTTTTTCTCGGCGTGTCATATTAATTTTCGGCGGCGGCGGCGGCGGCGTCCGGCAAAAATTTCAAAATTGGCGGCGGCGAAATCGGCGAATAATAATTTATCGGCGGCGGCGGCGTGGCGCGGCGGCGCAAAGGTCTAGCCGAATGGCATCTGATTGAACGAGGTTTTAAGGGTCGGCAGGCGACATGGTGGAGACGCCTATCGGCCGGCCGGGAATTAGAGATTCTTATATTCCAGATATTAGCGAAACTACTGAATGAATCTTATTAAATTTATGATATTCTTAATCAGTAAGCTCAAATGCAGTCCGCCAAAGAGTTATTTATTGAAAAAAAGATGAAAATAAAATTTATAATATAACTTGGGGGAATGCGCAGCTAGTAACGGGTAAGGTTGGGTTAGCCAGGAGTCCGTATTTTATTTATTATAAATTTTTCAGAGCAAAAATGCAAAATTCGACTCTTTGGCGGACTACTTTATTATATCAAGAATATATTAAAAAAAAAAAACCAAAGTTATGTCACTTATTTTATGAAATATCTGGACGATAAGATTCTCACTAGATTCATAAGGAGTAGGGGAAATTTCCGTGGTAACATACTGACAGCTAACAGCTTGACAAGGAGAGACTATCATTCTGTCCTTGTCTCTCTTACATCGCATATGTAGTAACATCCATGTAGACACAAACACTAATGCGTTGAACGAATGCGATTATTGGGAGATATCAGCAAGAACCGGTTTTCGTATTATCATTGTTTCTCTGTATATGTATATTATATGTAAAAGAACAATAAGAATAGCAATAATTCTTGCCTAACATTATCTTCCAATTATCGTTTCGTGTACGCAATATATATTTCACATTATGCATCTGTAACAAAATAATCGAATGATTTATTTAAATATTTGCATATAATCTATGTAAATAAAATATGTACAAATAAAATAATATTTATGCAAATATTATTTTATTTGTGTACATATTTTATTTATATACCCAAACAACACCAAGTCCAAAATTGGCGCGTAAGATATCTTTATAAGATGTCTTTTTGATATCATATCATAAGATAGCTGTCTTAAAGATTTCTTAATGCTATCTTATGCGTCAATTTTAGACTTGGTGCTGTCTGGGTAGATAATATGCAAATTAATATGTTTATATATATGCACACACATAGATATGACAATAGCGTTATCATGATTTTTTTCGATTATTAAAGTTATATTGTATAATCTCTCTCTTATCTCTTTCTCTCTGCTACATAAATACTATTATAACGTAAAAGAACTTAAGGGTCGACAGGCGACATGGTGGAGACGCCTATCGGCCGGCCGGGAATTACGGATTCTTATTTTCCAGATATTAGCGAAAATATTGAATGAATCTTATTAAATTTAGGATATTCTTAATCAGTAAGCTCATTTGTAGTCCTCTAAAGAGCTATTTTATGAAAAAAAGATAAAAATAAAAATTTTTAATAAACTTGGGGGAATGCACAGCTAGGAACGGGTAAGGTTGGGTTAGCCGCGAGTCCGTATTTTATTTATTATAAATTTTTAAGAGCGAAAATGTAAAATCCGGCCTTTTAGAGGACTGCTTTATTATATAAAGAATATATTAAAAAAAAATTCACGAAGTTATGTCACTTATTTTATGAAATATCTGGACGATAAGATTCTCACTAGATTCATAAGGAGCAGGGGAAATTTCTGTGGTAACATGCTGACTGCTTGACAAGGAGAGAGCATCATTCCATCTTTGTCTCTCTTACATCGCATATGTAGTAGCGTCCATGTAGGTACAAAAACTAATACGTGAGCACACGGATGCAAATATTGAGAGATAATGTCAGCAAAAAGGCTATCATATTATTTTTATTTTTTTGTATATGTATGCATATGTAAATAAAGAACAAAAATAAAAACTATTTTAAATAATAAGAATCTATTTGTGTGTGTGTGTGTGTGTAATTAAAAATTAATAAAAAAATCAATTTATATACCATATATTTTTTTTATATCATATAAAAAAATCTTAGAAATGTACTTAAATTTTTCGTAGATCCTCGATTTTTTTCATTGCTTCTAAACATTCAGCTAAAAGAGCAGTTGAGACTATTCGAATAAAAAATATTTCATCTTATTTTTTGCAAATAATATAATATATTTTTTATTTAGGAGTCCAAAAATATATGTTACGCATAAGTTATTTATAATTTTCGTTCAAATTAAGAGAATATTGTATTGAATATATTGTAATGCATATACACATTAATTTTCATTAATTTACTTGTTTAACAAAAACATGGTTTTTTGATAATAATTTAAAATTATTTCTGCTCAGTGATTTTTAAATAGCCGCAGTATATTGACGGTGCAAAGATAGCATAATCAATTGTTTTTTAAATGAAAACTGGAATGAAGGAATTGATTAAAGCTGTTTTAATTTGTAGATTTAAAATTTAAATTTTAAGTTAAAATTCTTAAAAGAAATTATGGGACGAGAAGACCCTATTAAATTAATATAATTTTTTTATTTAAGGAAATAAATTTTATTTTAATGATTATATTTTATTGGGAGGATAATTAAATAAAATGAACTTTAATTTAAAGATAATTTTAACATTAATTAATGAAATTTTTATAAAGGATTGATTATTAAATTAAGAAAATTTTTTTTTTATAATAATTATAAAAATTAATTACCTTAGGGATAATAGCGTAATATTTTTAGAAAGATCATATTAATAAAAATGATTGCGACCTCGATGTTGAATTAAAATAAAAATTAAATAAAGAAGTTTAATATTTTAGTCTGTTCGACTAATAAAATTTTACATGATTTGAGTTCAGATCGGTGTAAGCCAGATCGGTTTCTATCTATAATAAAATTAAGAAAATTTTGTACAAAAGGACTTTTTTTTAAATTATATTTTTTTTAATGAATAAATTTAATTGATCAAATATATGTAAATAAATAAAATTACTTTGGCAAAATTTAAGTGTATTAAATTTAGAATTTTAATGATGTATAATAGAAAAAAGTTATACAAGTAATAATTTGTCAAAATTTAAGATTATATTTTTATAGTGCGTTAAATATATTAAGATTGTTAATTTTGTTATTAATTATATTAGTTGGGGTAGCTTTTTTAACTTTATTGGAACGAAAAATTTTAAGATATGTACAAATTCGTAAAGAACCTAATAAGGTGGGATTTATAGGATTATTTCAATCTTTTAGTGATGCTATTAAATTACTTAATAAAGAATTATTTTATGTATATAAATCTAATTATAATTTTTTTTATTTATGTCCTATAATTAGATTTGTTTTAATAATAATATGATTAGTATTTCCTTACATTACTAATATTTATTTTTTAAATTATTCTATTTTAATAATAATTGTTTTTATAACTATTAGAGGGTATGTTATAATTTTTATGGGATGATCAGCTAATTCGATTTATTCAATAATAGAAGCAATACGATCAGTTTCACAAATATTATCATATGAAGTAAGATTTATTTTAATTATTTTAGTTATTATATTAATAAGAGAGAGATATTCTTTTTTTGATTTTATTAATTATCAATTTTATTTATGATATATAGTAGTTTTATATCCTTTGTTTATTATAGTGTTTATTAGGATTTTAGCTGAATTAAATCGAAGTCCTATAGATTTTATCGAAAGTGAGTCAGATGATTTAATATTGAATATTTTAGGGGTGGGTTTACATTAATTTTTTTATCTGAATATGGAATAATTATTTTTTTAGATTAATTAGAATTTATATATTTAGGAATTTATTAAAATATTCAATAATTTTAACTTTTATTTTAATTAATATTTTATGTAGAATAGTAATTTTTATACATGGAATACTTCCTCGAATACAATATGATAAATTAATATATTTATGTTGGAAAATTATTTTACCAATAATTTTGGTTTATATTTTATTAATTTTTGGATTTAAATTTATATTATTAATAATAATTTAGTAAAAAAAATTAAATGTTTAAAAGTTAATAGAAAATTAAAATTTCTTTAATATGTTTTCAAAACATAAACTTAAATTCAAGATTATTAACTTAATTTAATAGTAATTTATAAAAAATTTAAATATTAAATATAATTATTTTTAATATTTTAAATTTATTTATAATAATAAATTTTAAAATATTTATTTAAAAATAATTAAATCTCAAATTTTTATTAGGAAAGGTAATAAGATAAAATAAAGAAAGTAACATAATGATAAAATTTGTCTAATAATGATAAAAGGTTGAGCTCCTGCTCATGTTAATAGAATAAAAATATTAATGAAAATTCAAAATAAATATTGATTTAAAGGATAAAATGATAATGAATTAAATTTTATAGAAATTAGAGGTAAAAAATATAAGATAATAATTGATGATAATAATGCAATTACACCTCCTAATTTGTTAGGGATAGATCGGAGGATAGCATAAACATATAGAAAATATCATTCAGGTTGAATATGAATTAAAAATGTATTTTATAAATAAATGAAATATTATATATATATATATATATATATATATATAAGTGTATATATATATATATATATATATATATATATATATATATACAGATATGAAAGAACTTACGAGTAACGTATGATGGCTCAATGCAAGAATATTTAATCACGTAAAAAACTTGAGTTCAAATATATCAATATCAATTTTTTTATAATATATTAGAATATAGAAAATCATAGAAATATATTTTTTATATAGGCGATTAACTTAAAAATTTGATATTGAAAATATTTTAATCATTTTACAACTACACACACTATAAATATATAAATGCAAAATACTTCCGTAAATAAATTTCAATAAATCAATTGCACACATGCACACAGCTGGTATGTAGATT